GTTCGCCTCGGTGGGCGCCGATGGCTCGGTCAGGATGTTCGACCTGCGGCACCTGGAGCACAGCACCATCATCTACGAGGACCCCCAGCACCACCCGCTGCTGCGCCTCTGCTGGAACAAGCAGGACCCCAACTACCTGGCCACCATGGCCATGGATGGCATGGAGGTGAGGCAGCAGCTGGGGCAGTGGCTTGGTACTGATTTACACCCCGGGATTTATGGGAAGGGGGCAGCATCAATACCTGAAGTGTGATTAAGGAGCAGTTCTTAGTGCACTGAGAAGTTAAAGTGACTTTGGCATGATAAACTTGAGCTTTGTGGGTTGTATGTATTTCAGCTCATTTTTAAGAGAAGTCTGTGAGCAGTTGGGCAATAATTTTCACCTGATATCTTTGAGTCATTTTGTTCTTTCCCAGTGCAGTTTTAGTTTGTTACCAAGGCTGCTTCAGGGAAGCACAGTTTGTTTGCCACTGTGGCCTAACTCACAAGCCCCCTGTGAAGTCTGACTTCTTTTGAGACACATGGCACACTGACCAGCTGGAAGCTGTTCTTTAGGAGCAAGGCTTACTTGCCTACCACATCCTTTAGGAAAGAGCCATCTTTATAGCCTGACCTCAAAATATTTTGTATTTGGAATAAATTAATTTTTTTAATGCAGTTTATTAATAGAGCTGTTTTTTTGGTTTTTTTTTTTTTTTTCTGAAGGTTGTGATTCTAGATGTCAGAGTTCCCTGCACCCCTGTTGCCAGGTTAAACAACCACAGAGCATGTGTAAATGGAATAGCCTGGGCACCTCACTCTTCCTGCCACATCTGTACAGCAGGTAAGTGAGACCTAATCTTGGAGTCCTCTACTGCATTTGCAAAATCCTCTTCATCCTAAAGTATGTGCAATTCTATGCCTGCCTTTTGCTAAAGAATACTTGCAATTTAGAAGCTCTTTATTAGGTGACTTTCCTAAAATGTTACAGAAATAGACTGTGCATCAGCACTGGCTAAGCTCCTGTTATTTTAATGCTCCTTAGCTTTTTTGTAATGCAGTTTTAAATGTTTTCTGCTGTTAGGAGTCTCACTGGTCACTCATTTATCAGCTCTGTCTTGGATAATGTGTAATGATCCAAGTTTATTTTGTTGGAGCATAGTTGTGCTGTTGTATCTGGCTTGAATGTGGATCAGGACTGGAACAGCCATGTCTTTCCTGGCTCCTGAGGCTGTGGGGCTGTAGTGGGCACAGGTGGAGATCCTGTCACACTGACTGTGCTTGCATTTGTTGTCTGTGTGCAGCGGATGATCACCAGGCTCTCATCTGGGACATCCAGCAGATGCCTCGTGCCATCGAGGACCCCATCCTGGCCTACACAGCCGAGGGAGAGATCAACAATGTACAGTGGGCATCCACCCAGCCAGACTGGATAGCCATCTGCTACAACAACTGCCTGGAGATCCTCAGAGTCTAACTTTGCAGCTTGGTGCACACTGAGGCAGGGCTGTGTCCTTCCCCCTCCCCTCTAAAGTAAGAACACCACCAGTCAAGTGGCCAGTATCTGTTGTTGCTTTGCATCTGCTGTTACAAGAAACTGTTACAAGAATCGATGGCAGGGGTCTCCTGTCTCTCAAGACTCTAAAATGCAGAGACGTGCTGAGCCTCTTGGAACTTCTGGGTTCTGGTTTTCTTGTGAAATTCTTTTTTTTTCCCTCAGTAAAAGTTCTGTATATTTGTTTGTTGACTGTATTAATAAGCTTGCAGGCTTTTAAGTTGCTGCATATGTCCATGTGTTTGTCAGCCAGCTGAGGCAGCACATCCACCAGTTTAACAGATGCAGGTGCAAAACAAGGTGGGGGGAAAAAGACAATGATGTTAACGGCCACCTTGGCAGGAATCTTTATCATTCCTGTTGTTGCTGCCTCTAAACTGTTTAAACGTTTGTATGTTTTTTATATATTGGGCTAACTTTCTATTGAGTAAGGTTTTTCTCCCTAATTCTTACTTTTGATATGTGATCCACTTCCATATGTCCAAAGCAGGACCTGTTCATGGATACAAACCACAGTAACACTGCAGGCTCCCTGGCAGTAAAGGCCTGCCAGAATTAACTGTTGCCTTGGCTCCCTGTATCTGGTGACCTGGGCAGAATTTTCTGGTGCTGTGAAGTACAAGTACTTGTTGCACAATTTCTTTACACTTTTCTGATGCTCAAGGCAGTTGTTACTATGGTAGGTCTTATTTTTAAATTCTAACTGAGTTTGTGTGTATCCTGCAGTGGTGTTAGCAAACAGAGCAGTGATAGGTTGAGAATGAAGATCTGTGCATGACATGAGCTCCCAGGAGGTAAACAATTCCTGAAAAAATGTATTTGTAATGGGCTTGGGATTGACACTTCCAACCAAATTATTTCCCCTTGGAAGACTTACCTTATCTAAATCAAAATAAAATGGTTTCACACTTTGTAGCTTGCTTGATTGGCAAATAATATGAGCAAGATTTTGTGGTTAGGCTGTACTTCAGAGGTAGTGTTTGGCTTGTGTTCCTGGGAGGTCTTGAAGGGAGCAAAAAAGCAATCTTGTTGTGAAGTGTATTTGCTTTATTCTGCCAGGTCTTGTTGAATGAACAAGGCAAGTCAGAAGAGCTGTTTCTTTGAAAGAAGTTACTTCCTAATGTGATGCACAAAGGTGGATGTGGAAGGAAAGAAGCTGTGCCATTGAGGCCAAGGTTTGGCATTTGTCATCCTCCTGACTTTGGGGGATGTGCCAGAGGGCTTCTGTTTGGAATAGTGATCCCTCTACAATAATACTGTTCAATGAAAGCTGAGTGGATTAGGCAAGATAAAAAAATCCTTGTTGGAGTTTTACCATAACACAGGTCCTGTGCTGAAGGCTCTGCAGTTCTCTGATGAAGACATGACAGCCAGAGCTGCTCTGGAAGGGTGTGCAGCCCATTTTCGATGTAAATGTCAGAAACCATCAAAATTCTTTCCACCTAATGAGTATTCACCTGCAACTGGAGGCAGATTATAAATAGCAGGACACTGGCAAACTTGAATCTTGTCAGTTTATGCAGGAAAGGCAAGTTGAGAAAGCAGTTGCTGTGGAACACTGAAGCTGACACTGAGAACATTGTCAAAGACAGAACAGAATCTGCAAAGTTTTGGCATTCTGGACATAGAGAAATACTCTTCTGCAGGCTGCTTCTCACCGTGGAGCTCAGAAAAGCATTGCCTCAGGAATTTGATAGGAATTCATTAGGGGCAGCTGTATTCCATCACTCCTTTTGATAGCAGAGAGCCAGGAGCTAACACTGTGCAAGCTGGTGTTTTGTCAGTGTGTTCAGTTGTGGGATTTCTGACAAAGCTTGATTTGACTTGAGGGTCAATTTTTCTTATTAGCAGCACTAGTGAGAGTGGTGTGTTCCACAGACAGGCTTTAGCTGGATGGCAGAGCAGTGTTAGCCAAACAATCACTTTCTGCATTTGCACTTCATCTGAAACTGGAAAAAACTTCCATAGGATGAAGCAAAAATTGGGGTTTTCTTAGCAGGAGTGGCTAATGGCATTCACAGCTTTAGGAGTCATCTGAAATACATTCACAGGCTTGTCATGCTCTGTTTAATTACAAATGGCAGGCAAAAGGTGCTGTTACTGAGAGGGAACTACCTGCAGTGTTAGTGCTTTCCATGTCCCCTTTTTGCTTCAGAGTTTATTCTGTACAGATGGCATGAGTCAAAGATGAATGCTAAGATAATGTGAGGTTATATAAAGGAACTCATGGTCTGAATAGCCAGGTAGATTCTGCTTCTGTTGGAAATGAATCCTGTTAGGGACCTGAAGAGGATCCAGTGTCAGTTCTTGCATCCCTGAAATTGATGGAAGTCTGTTTGTGAAATTGTGTACTTACCCCAAATGCATCAAAGGCAAGTGAAGGAATCTTGGATTCTAAATAAAGCCTATATCCTGGTTTTTTTTTAGCCAGTTGGGATACCTTCTGGATCTACAGCATATTGCTTTGGGCATAATCCATTGTCATTCTTCACAAGAAATTACATTTTAAATCACTAGAGACTGTTTTGGCACAGGGAAATAATACTTAAAATAACTTCAAAGATGTCCCTTGAAAGGTTAATGAGTGAAAAGACATGAAAATCCTCATGGGTGAGATGTTCTGTAGTGCAAATGGCACTTCTATATAGACAAGGAAGGGAAAGGCTTTGGTGCCCTTTTGCCAACAGCTGCTGTGACCCAGTGCCAGGGAGGGAATGC